ACCTTATTGATGGAGTTTTCAGGGCTTCTGTCGTTTACTCCAAATATACTGACTGATACTGACTGAAAATTCGAAAGTAGTAACGGATGGTGTATACCGCATATTCCACAACAGGCTGGGAGCAGGCACGCTGAATTGTGCACAATTATATTTAAAGTGGCAGAAAACATGCGCTGCATCTACCGCACGCGCTCCTCCTCGTCTTTTTCCTTCCTTCCCTTTCTTCCTTCATACGTCGCACTCGGTTCTGATTACATTCGATGGGATTGCCATAAATGCAACACTAACTGATAGGCAATGCAGCTTGACGGTAAGTCCTCCACTCCCCTCAAACACACACACGACAGTTTGACCATCAAATTCGATGATGTCCACCGTGTGTTCCACACCAGGTGGGAGCAGGAACGGCGAATTACGCAGGGGTTTATAGTGCTAGTAGACTTGCGTAGCATCTAGCTACACTCTCTCCTCCTCCCCCGCCTGAGCCCGGTGTCAAGACAGAGTCAAGAAGACCGGAGACGGGGGAGGCCGCAGGTGGATGGCGCGGACGGATCTTCGCCTTGGCGCTCCACTCCGCACCCCTGGTCCACACACCAAGACCAGGATTTCAACCAACACAACAGAGATTTGGAGGCTGGCACGGCCGAAGCCGCACCTGGGCGTGCCGCCAACGCCTGGCTCGGATCCCACACTGTGGTGGGAATGCCATAAAGGCCACATTAAAAAGGAGCCATTGCAGCCTGACTCTCAGACCGCCTCCCGTTAAGGAGGAGGTCCAAGGTATCCCGTCAGTTGGCAACCTTCCAAGCCACGGCTTTTAGCGCACCGTGATAGCTTCAAGCGCGTCAGATTGATTATAGTGAGGAAAATGCGCTGAGTCGTCGACCTCACTCTCCCTTCCCATTCCCACACCCCAGCCACTGTCCGAGCCGGTCAGTAGACTGGAGTGGGGAATGGGCGCGGTGGCTGACATGGTCGACTGACCATGCCTGCGCGCGCCACAACACGACCTGCCCCCCCCATACACACACAAACACCAGGATTTCACACAACAGGGGTAGAACGGCGTGTCTCCCACTTGCGTGAGAGTGCCGTGGAAGGTGCTGCTTCAGCCCGTCCCCAGCCCACCAGTCCGGCACTCCACACTAAACACACACACACACACACACACACGACAGTTCGTCCGTCGATTTCGACGATGACCACCGTGTGCCCCACAGACTGCATTGTGGGAGCAGGGACGGTGACTTACGCAGGGGTTTATAGTGCCAGTAGACTTGCGTAGCATCTACCTACACTCTCTCCTCCTCCCCCGCCTGAGCCCGGTGTCAAGACAGAGTCAAGAAGACCGGAGACGGGGGAGGCCGCAGGTGGATGGCTCGGACGGGTCTTCGCCTTGGCGCTCCACTGCGCACCCCTGGTCCACACACCAAGGCCAGGATTTTGACCACAAAACAATGGGGTGAAGGCAGTGGTCCAGTTTAGCGACGAATGCCCACAACAGGGTCAGCCAGCGCACCCCGCAAATGTTGGCATTTGTTATTGCGCACAGATAACGCCTGCCAAAGTCCGATTTGGCACCCGTGTTGGTCCAGCGCATCTAACACGTGGCCCCTTTGGAGGGCACAAACACACACACACACACACACACACACACACGACAGTTCAGTTCGACCGTCGGTTTCGACGATGTCCACCATGAACCACACACCAAGTAGGAGCAGGGACGGTGACTTACGCAGGGGTTAATAGTGCCAGTAGACTTGCGTAGCATCTACCTACACTCTCTCCTCCTCCCCCGCCTGGGCCCGGTGTCAAGACAGATTCAAGAAGACCGGAGACGAGGGAGGCCGCAGGTGGATGGTTCGGACGGATTCTCACCTAGGCGTTCCACCACACCCCCCCGTTGTTCCACACAACAAAAACCAGGATTTCAACCAACACAATAGAGATTTGGAGGCTGGCACGGCCACTACACACAACACACACACACACAACGTGACGAACTGCGTAAACCGAGAGCGGGCCTCAATCAGCAACCTTCCTATCCACGACACTTGACGTGTCGGTATAGTCTCGGACACAAGTCACCCGTGCAGCCGAAGCCGCATGGGGACCGAGTCGAGATGCACACTTCCCACTTGCGTGGGAGGCGACAGTTGAGTGCATGAGGTGTGTGGGGTTGATGTCTGGTGGGGTGATGGTGTTAGGAGGTAGGGAGTGAGGAAATGTGTGGTGTGACCGGCGGTTGTCTACCGCAGGTCGTCGTGGATGCGCATGTGGCCGAATAGACCCATGCGATGCGTGAAGGTGCGAGGGCAGTGTGGGCAGTGGAGGCGAGTGCGGTGGGTGTAGGTT